TCGTGCAGGAGACTGTGGTGTTGCCTGCTGCAGAAACCATTTTGAGCCTCACCACCTTCCTCGCTAGTTGCAGTGTGTAACCATACAGCAAATTCTAACAGCAAATCATACTCAAGCTTGTAAAACAGATTAGCTGCTAGATTCCTCTTTGTTTTGAGAACATAGCAAAAAACCTGAGTGCCTGCCACAGGTCATGTCAGCAGAGCATCACTGGCAGGCCCTCAGATGGAGACACAGTGAGAGATACAAGACAAAATCCCTGGTTTCAGAACTTCACTCTGATTTAGCAGAGTGCAGCAAGAGTCAAGTAAGAGTGAACTAAAATTTGAAGAATTCTGGGGTTTTTTTGCTTCTGATTGAAACTGGCCTCATGTTCTGGGAGGCAATGTGGAGAATGTTGAAAATGAAGAAATTAGCAGAAAGTACTACGACATCTATTCCCACCTATTCCTCCATTATCAATAACATCATTTTTTTCCCCACCCACCTCAGCCAGCCAGCGAGCCAGCCATCTGCAATATCAAAGAGAACACCTTAGGCTGTTCCACTTCTGACATGGCAGCGTTCAGACAGCAGATATTTTAACAGGATTCATGGACTTTGGATTCTGCAGCCATGTGGGATTTGGAGCGTCCTGTCAGCAGAACTAGATCTCTTAGCACTCAGAGTGCAAAAACCGATCCCTCAAACTAAAGCAGCCCTAGCTCTCCAGGGCACACAGCACGCAGGAGGACAGCTCTGTTCCCACACTGTAGTAGCTGGTGGTACAGATACATGTGAACTGAACAATTCGACGCAATATCATATTTCTGGCTAAGACTTTTTTTTTCATATTTTGGGTTTCCCACAGTGGATTATTTCGAATCCAACTTCACTGCCTGCTCTGTTTACTGGTTAGGATGTTTGTTTTTCCTAGAGAAAAGATAAACAATAAATGTTTTATGAAAGCAGCTTAAGAACAAAGTATGGAAAATCAAAGGAAAATCCTAAAATGAACTCTTCGTGCCCTAGGGCAGAGAATGTGGCTGCTGTATCCTAGTGTTCTGCTCACAGGGAAGTTTTGTTTTTGTGAAATGTTACACATGTGCCAAGCTGCTGCAGATATCTGAGTAACTCTTTCTTTGTCTTGCTGCAGCAGCTAGTTATCAGTGCGGTCAGAGCAGTGCACAGCATGGTCCCAAGCCTGCAGGCACACAGGCTGGGAGTCGGTTGCCTAATCACAGCCATCTATGTTGTGATGCCCTCAGGTTTTGTCCCTGGTCTGCTGCTGCCTCTCCAAAAGAAGGCACAGATCTCTTGGGTGCATGGGACATCTAAAATAGCTGTAGACACTTAACGTTTAGGCAACTGAATGCTCACTTGTACTCTGTCCATTCAACCAGCACAACTGTTTAGGCAACTGCAAGACAAAGCCTTTAGATTTCAGAGAGGGAGACTTGTATCTGTATTCTGCTAGCCTTGTGTGGAGAAATACTCTTAAACATAAATAGTAGCACAATAAATCCACAAACAAGAGTTCCCTAATGCATTCACTTATATGGTCAGCAAGTTCTTAGCAACAAAGCCTGAAAGTCATTTGGCCATCCCCACTGAGCACTGGCAGACCTCAGAAGTCTAGCTTCTTGTGCACGGAGACTTGCAAGGCAGCAGACGTGCAGTGGGTGGTTATGCACACAGTGGTCAACCAGCTGCCATCCAGATAGACAGGAGCTATGTCTGTCACCATTCTATGCTTGTAACCACTGAATGCTTGCAGGTCAAGTGACAAAGTGCTAACTACAACACAGCAGCATGAGGGGAAGGAAGTTTCTGCTCGCTCACTGATACACAGAACTGTGAGCCAGGCTCTGTCCCTGGCTCCACTGCTTCTTCCATTGCAGGCCTGATGAAAAGCCCTAGTGAAACAGAGAGTGTCTCTTTGATTTGAATCAGGAAGGCAATATCCATAAAATCCCTGGGCCACTTTCCAGATATCCACATGCTATCAAGGGATCAACAAACCATTTATGTAACCTTTAGGTGCTCCATTGTCCTGGCACCTTTGCCCATAGACTCTCTCTGATGTGCAGAGGGTGGCTGCCTGAAGCTTTCAGGATTCTATTCTGCTAAGCAACTGTTTAACACTCAGATATTGTGAGACTAAGTTTTTGTGGATGCCAGCTATAGTAACTCTACTCTGCTTCCATCACCTCATCTGAGGAGGGGTGAAATCATTATTTTTTACACAAAAAGTACATAAAACTCTCTCTGTTGGCCACCCTGGCATTGTTCAACTTCCACGTTCCCAAAGGAGCTCCATCTCAGCAAAGAAAAGAAAGGCAGGAGACAACTGCAGGGCTTTTGGCCAGTAAAATCATTCCAAATCCTTGTGTGCCTAGATTTGAAGAGCTTTTAAATCCAGGAGGCCTGACAACATGCAATTTGGCCTTTGCACTGCTTCAACAATGAGCCATAAAACTAACACTCTGGATCAATTCTAGCCTCTGTTCATATGAATTTACTCATGCGCCAGTAACTCTAATGTAACTCCATGAACGTCGATGACGTGGTGAAGCTTCCACACTGAAATCACTAAAGAAATGAATTTCTGCCATGCCAGGCTGCAAATGAAGCTTAGGGGAACAGTTTCAATCCTGGAAGAAGAAAGTTCCCAGCTATGCAGGGCAGCTTGTATCTCAAAAGCCTGTTTTTAATCGTAACTTCTACAATTCAGTTACACAGCTCATGCTTTACTACCTGGATAGTAGTTGCCAACTGGATGGAAACCTGACTTGGTATTTTCCAGTTGACGGTAAAGCTTTCTGAAGGATATTTCCTTGAGCAGCACAACAGCTTAGCATGAGCTTTCCTAGATATGAAACACAGAAATCACTGCTTCCATTAAATGCACTCACTTGCTCTAGAGAATGTGAGGTTCCTAACAGTACCTTGCTGAACCCTCACAACCCGTGCATCAGGGCTGCTTCAGACACAGGCAGAAAAGGTAATTGCCAAGAGTAGCATTTTTCTGGAATGGCAAAGCAGCCCTGCTACCTACCGGCTTTGGCTTTACTACTTGTCTCATCAGCCTGTACCAGTCAGCGCATCCACCACCCACCTTCGGGAGGTGGAGGCAAAGCTCTCCGCAGTGTTGGTGGGCTCCTGCTGCTGTAGGGATATGGCATGTGACAGCACGTCCTGCAACACACCACTATGTACTGCTCAGCCTTGATGTGGCAAGACACAGTTTTGTCTGCAGCACTGAGGAGCTCTGAGCTAGCTCAGCCTGGCACTTTTTATGGAGTCCCTTTGGCACAGCTGACTGCACAAGCAGGTCCAGATACTCCTGAAGGGGAATTTGTTTGGAAAAAAACACCCAACCATTTTAATTTGAATCTTAAAAGAAGACAGAAAATAAAGATAGATGACTGTCATTCCTCCTCATGGTTTCATCCTTACCAGGGGGTAGCTACAGCTGTAACCAAACCACAATGAACTAATTTCAGCCCATGCTTCAATGTGAGCTGACATGTAGTGCATTTAATTGGTAGCAACTGAACCAAGGTCTTGGAAACAGGGTTTGGCTTAAGGCTAGAGTGTGGAAAGAAAAGATCTCCCTTTTCAGCTGCACTATTGTATCTTTAGTGCTGATGGCAGAGAGAGTGTGACCTGCCAGAGCAGAGGAGACATCCTATATTTCTCTCCTGTTATGCTGCTGTGGCTCACACTGAAGTATGTAGAACGCGTGGCTGATTTCTCCACAGCAGTATGACAATCCTGTCAAAGGGGACTTCTCTGCATAGCCCTGCGAGCGATGAAGAGACAAAGTAATCTGTTTCCCATGGCTGTTCCAAGACAATGAAGATTTGGACCTATTTTCCCATACTGAATATTGGGCACAGCCCCATGAACAGGGCATATACTCCACTAACACTGAAACTCTTAAAAATCTTCTATGACTGGGTGACATGAAGCAGATAAATTATTCTTGCAAAGCTGAAAGTTGGTCAGATAAGCTTGGATATTGCACTGAAATAAGTAGTGCTCCTAGTCTCAATTTCCAGGTATTTCCAAGGCTGAAGCACAGAAGAGTTTCTGGTTCATTAGAGGAATGCCTGTTCAGCTTGAATCTAATACTTGTTAGTGCTGTGGCCAGAACTCTGAGCCAGAATAAATACATTAAATTTGGTGATTCTTTCATTCCTGAACTATGCCCTTGCTTTGTGAAATACTTAGTTGTTCAACGAATGACATACTGAGTCACCAGAAGTGAGAGCTGTAACACTGAGGGGGAGTGATGCCATCCGAAGTTCTCTCTGTCGCAGGTGAGAAGGTAGGAGGAAAGCAGCTTTCCTCAGCTTTATCTTTTTATGGCCCAAACAAGCCAAGTCTGTCAGATTCTGCTGGCTCTCTGATCAGGCCCGAGGTGCTTGGGTGTCATGACAACAAGTATTAGTCATGATCACACTGTTATTTGTCCTGTAGATACAGCTGGGTTGTGTACTTGGATCACAAGCGTCTCAACAGGGAAAGTTTGGGCATTCTTCAGAGACGCAGCAGGAAAGAGGGTAAAGATCTCTCCTTGTCTTGTCTGGTTCTGCTTAACCTAAGTCCTTGCACA